CAACCCTGGAGCCATGCAACCCAGGGCTTGCCACAGAAGGCCGAGTATTCTACCCTCCCCTCAAGCTGCTGGAAAGATCCTTGGGCAGGACTAGCCTTAAGATAAAAAGCAGGCTGTTTCCTTGGGAGCAGGGGTGTGTCTGGAGAGGGCAGGGTATCAGCAGAAGCCCCACTGAGTCGAACAATGGCAGGAAAGGAAACCACATAGTTGCCACTGCATTTTTCTTCAAGGCTGAGTCCGCGCAGACCTTTCCTGGAAGGGATGGTTGTATAGCTGTTTCCAGAATAGAAGGTAGTATTTCTTCAAATGCTTTTCAAAATGGGGTGTGTGTGTGTGTGTGTGTGTGTGTGTGTGTGTGTGTGTGTCTCCCTCACAGAAGCAGAGACAGAGGAGCGAAAAGGAGCCAGATCATAGAGGCCTTCACCACCAAAGCTTTGATTTTTTTCTAAATGACATGATTGAATTTCACAAAGATTTCCTTGGCTGCTGTATGGATTGGTTTGCCGGGTCCAAGAGCAGAAAGAGTTAGGAGGCCACTACAGTGGTCCAGGCTCCAATTGATTAGTTCCAGTGTGGGATAGTGGTCAGGGGACAAAGAGGTCAACACTGGCCCTTACTCAGGGAGGGGAGAAGGGACCAGAGTACTTGGTGAAGGGAACCAGGAGAATAAGACTTGCTCTGGAGCCACATCGAGGGTCAGATATCTGGGGAAACAATGACAAGAACTCTCCCAGAAAACCCATAGCTTGGGCTCATAGAACAGGCTTGGCTGGGGCTCAACCCCTTCATATGGTGTTGGAAGGGAAACTGAGACACACTCTCAGGAACAGAGGGTCACAGAATGGGAGCCTCGGCTCCAGTCCCAGGCTTCCTGCAATGGCCACTCAGTTCATCCCCATTACTCCTGAAGAAGGGAGTTCCCATTTATGCATATCACAACCACCGCCCACCAGCCCAAGGGTAGAGGGGAGACCAATGAGGAATTCTGGCTATGACAAGGCTGCTGGAAGCTCCACAGAGGAGGGTCAGCACCCGCCCCCACCCAGATCCAGATGTACAGAGAGAGATAAATTTGGAATGTGCAGGGATAGGGGACTGGACAAGGCTGGCAGGAGCCAGAGTTCCTGGCACCCTGGGGAATTCGGGGTAGGGATAGCTGGCAGCCCAGTTCTTTTCTCTTTCCCTAGCTCCAAGAAAGATCCTCGTGAATCCTGACATTTCAGCATGCCCTCCCAATTACTTGAATCTTTTTTTAGTGTCAATGGAGAAAGGGGAAATGCTTCTTGGCCTAGAATCAGGCCCACTGGGTGGTAGCTTCAGAGATGCACATTTCAGCCAGCTCCCATCCTTGGAGGTATACAGACTGGGATGGGCCATGCTGTTGAAAGGGGGTGAGTCCGGGGTCTGAGATTCTAGATCCCTGGAAACAGGATACCAAAGTTCTAGTGCAGCTGTGGTTACTAATTTTCCATATGACCTCAGGCCAATACCCTCCTCTCTCAGAGTTTCAGTTTGTTCTTCTGTGCTTTTGTGATTAATGGGGTCAATGGCAGAAGCCAGACGAGAAACCAGATCCCAAGCCAAGGGCCAGTTTGTTGGAATTTGGCCAGACAGGGTGTGCAGTCTGGTTTCCATCCAGGCCGTCAGACACTCCTGCCTGCCTTCAATGCCCTTCTAAAAGGTACTCCTCCTCCAGGGAAGCCTCACAGATTATCTTCTTCCTCCCCATGTCATACACTGCTTGGTCCAGGGCTGTCCAATAATACTTGTTGCAACTATGGAAAAGTTCTATAATTTGCACTGTCCAATATATTAGCCACCAGTCACATATGGCTGTTGAACATTTGAAGTGTGGCTAATGTGCTAAAGAACTGAATTTTAATTAATTTTAGAAGTAAATTTAAGAAGCCATATGTGGCTACTGACTACCATATTGGATAATACAGGTTTTAGCCAAGGCTTTTCTTTCTGTGTTCCTTGGTTATAATAGTTCATAGGAGTTACCATTTATTGAGCACTTACTCTTTGCCAATTTTTACATAAGTGTTTTATTTTTTTCCTCTTTTTTTTCTTTATTTTATTTATTTATTATACTTTAAGTTCTAGGGTACATGTGCACAACATGCAGGTTTGTTACATATGTATACATGTGCCATGTTGGTGTGCTGCACCCGTTAACTCATCATTTACATTAGGTACATCTCCTAATGCTATCCCTCCACCCTCCCCCTGCATAAGTGTTTTATACACATCTTAGTGAATCCTGGAAATTCCATTTTAAAGATGAAGAAACCAAGGTTAGGTAAAACTGGTTTCGGGTTGCATAGAAAGCTGAAGAACCATTCAAGTGTGGGTCATGTTCTCCAGTCATTTAAGGAACCTTCCAGGGCCCAGCCTGGGGTTCTCCTTCTATACTTACTCTAGAGCACATGGCTGGACACCAGGGCCTGGGGAGGCTTATCAGCAAGTATCAATTGGTAGATGGTAGACACCTGATGAAAAGAAAAGAAACTATATTCACTTTCCATCTCCCAGGGACCCAGAAATCCTGGCTCCTGACATCCCACCTTAGGTATCTCTCTTTTTGCCTTTCTCCTGGACTACAGTGTCCTTTGAGTCACAAACTCAGAGCTCAACTGGGTGCTATGTGCAGAGGGCTGGGGAGGGGGTGTCACAGGCAGGCCCAGAGAAAGCCATCCAGGCTGAGAGCTGGGTTCTAGAAGGATCCTTGTTTTTAATCAAGAAAACAAGAAATAGTATTATAATAGCTACCTTTTATTGAGCACCCACTTTGTGCCAGGCACTTTACATACATTTGTGCTTATAATTCTTACAACAACCTGGGGAGGTAGGCATTATTATCGTTTTACATATGAGAAAACAGAGGCTCAGCAAGGTTAAGCAGCTTGTTCAAAGTCACAGAGCTGGTAGATGAGTGATAGAATCAGCACTTGAGTTGTGCATCTGTGAGGGCCCCAAAGCTTTCATCAGGCATTTTCCACACTGAGAAAATAAAGAAGGTAGAGAAGTGGTGTATTAGTCTGTTTTCACACTGCTGATAAAGACATACCTGAGACAGGGTAATTTATAAAGAAAATGAGGTTTAATGAACTCACAGTTCTATGTGGCTGGGGAGGCCTCACAATCATGGTGGAAGGTGAAAGGCACGTCTTACGTGGCAGCAGGCAAGAGAGAATGAGAGCCAAGCTAAAGGGGAAACCCCTTATAAAACCATCAGATCTGGTGAGACTTATTCACTACCACCAGAACAGTATGGGAGAAACTGCCCCCATGATTCAATTATCTCCCACCAGGTCCCTCCCACAATTATGGGAGCTACAGTTTAAGGTGAGATATGGGTGGGACACAGCCAAACCATATCATTCTCTCCCTGGCCCCTCCCAAATGTCATGTCCTCTCATTTAAAAATCAATCATTCCTTCCCAACAGTCCCCCAAAGTCTGAACTCATTTCAGCATTAACTCAAAAGTCCACAGTCCAAAGTCTCATCTGAAACAAGGCAAGTCCCTTCCGCCTATGAGCCTGCAAAATCAAAGGCAAGTTCGTTACTTCCTAGATACAATGGAGGTACAGGCATTGGATAAATACACCCATTTCAAGTGGGAGAAGTTGGCCAAAATGAAGGGGCTAATGGCCCCGTGCAGGTCCAAAATCCAGCAGGGCAGTTAAATCTTAAAGCTCCAAAATGATCTCCTTTGACTCCATGTCTCACATCCAGGTCACACTGATGTAGAAGGTGGGTTCTTATGGTCTTGGGCAGCTCCACCCCTGTGGCATTGCAGGGTACAGACTACTTCTTGGCTGCTTTTACAGGCTGGCGTTGAGTGTCTACAGCTTTTCCAGGTGCATGGTGCAAGCTGTCAGTAGATACACCATTCTGATGTCTGGAGGACAGTGGCCCTCTTCTCACAGCTCTACTAGGCAGTGTCCCAGTGGGGTCTCTGTGTGGGGGCTTCCCCTCCCACATTGCCTTAACAGAGGTTCTCCATGAGGGCCCCACTCCTGTAGCAAACTTCTGCCTGGACATCCATTCATTTCCATACATTCTCTGAAACCTAGGCAGAGGTTCCCAAACCTCAGTTCTTGACTTCTGTGCACCCACAGGCTCAACACTACATGGAAGATGCCAAGGCTTGGGCCTTTCACCCTCTGAAGCCAAGGCCTGAGCTGTACCTTGGCCCCTTTTAGCCATAGCTAGAGCAGCTGGGATGTAGGGTAACAAGTCCCTGGGCTGCACACAGCAGGGGGACCCTGGGCCTGGCCCACGAAACCATTTTTTCCTCCTAGGCCCCCAGGCTTGTGATGGGAGGCACTGCTGCAAAGGTCTCTGACATGCACTGCAGACATTTTCCCCATGTCTGGGGGAACATGGTGATTAATATTTGGCTCCTTGTTACTTATGCAAATTTCTGCAGCAGGCTTGAATTTATCCTCAGAAAATGGGTTTTTCTTTTCTATCTCATCGTCAGGCTGCAAATTTTCCAAACTTTTATGCTCTGTTTCCCTTTTAAAACTGAATGCTTTTAACAGCACCCAAGTCACTTCATGAATACTTTGCTGCTTAGAAACTTCTTCTGCCAGATACCCTAAATCATCTCCCTCAAGTTCAAAGTTCCACAAATCTCTAGGGCAGGGGCAAAATGCAGCCAGTCTTTTTGCTAAAACATAGCAAGAGTCACCTTTACTCCAGTACCAAACAAGTTCCTCATCTCTATCTGAGACCACCTCAGCCTGGATTTCATGTCCATATCATTATCAGAATTTTGGTCAAAGCCATTTAACAAGTCTCTAGGAAGTTCCAAACTTTCCCACATTTTCCTCTGATCCCTCCAAACTGTTCCAACCTCTGCCTGTTACCCAGTTCCAAAGTTGCTTCCACATTTTCGGGTATTTACAGCAGCACCCCACTCTACTGGTATCAATTTATAGTATTAGTTCATTTTCACAGTGCTGATAAAGACATAATCAAGACTGGGTAATTATAAAGAAAAAGAGGTTTACTGAACTCAAAGTTCCACATGGCTGGGGAGGCCTCACAATCATGACAGAAAGGCACGTCTTACATGGCGGCAGACAAGAGAGAATGAGAGCCAAGTGAAAGGGGAAACCCCTTAAAAATAATCAGATCTCATGAGACCTATTCGCTACTACCAGAACAGTATGGTGGAAACTGCTCCCATATTTCAATTACCTCCCACTGGGTCCTTCCCACAACACATGGCAATTATGGGAGCTACAATTCAAGATGAGTTTTAGGTGGGGACACAGCCAAAGCATATCAGGTGGGGAAAGGGCTGCATTCTCTAGGGGGTAGGGGACTGGTTTTGCTACTAGAGCTGTTGATAGACGCTAAAGTTCACCCTGTTTCCCACTTACCCTCTCTGGCATGCCACTTTTCTCCAGACTCAGCTGCAAAGTCAGAAAAAACTCACTCTGACTGAGGTTGCTCTTCTTAGAAAGAGAAATGGCTAGCATGGTGGCTTATGCCTGTAATCCCAACAATTCAGGAGGCCAAGGTAGGTGGATCACGAGGTCAGGAGTTTGAGACTAGCCTGGCCAACATGGTGAAACCCCGTTTCTATTAAAAAATACAAAAAGCCAGGCATAGTGATGCACGTCTGTAATCTCAGCTACTCAGGAGGCTGAGGCAGGAGAATCGCTTGAACCTAGGATGGGGAGGTTGCAGTCAGCTGAGATTGCGCCACTGCACTCCAACCTGGGTGACAGAGCAAGACTCCATCTTGGGGAAAAAAAAGAGAGAGAGAAAATGGCTGAGATGAAAGACCTTCCCGTCTGTTTATTGGTAGTTGTCAGCGTGTGCATGTAGCCTGTGTTCAGAAGTACAGACCATCAGAATAAGAACATCACTCCCTTCTAGACCACACCCCAGGCACATGTGCAGGGAGTGAGGCAGCTGAGGAATCTTAAAAGGGCTATTTATTTCCTACTAGAGTCCCAGGGAAACCACCTGGGAGGAGGCTGGCTTAGCAATCAGAGCCTCAAATTTGCTCCATGCCCCCCCTCCAGTTTATCCAGCCTCAGAAAGGTTGTGTTCATTTCATAGATCAGGGACCCATGATTTGTGTGTGTCTCTCTCTCTCCCCCCCTCCCCCACAAACACACACACACACGCACACACACACTTGAGTTAAGGCACAAAGTCTGGCCTGCATGGCCCTGCAAGTCCGTTTCCATCAGACACATCTGGCCCAGGGCTGAGGCCATGTATGTACACAAATGGGTGAGTGCAGTGTTAGAAGTCTCGTCACAAATAAGGAACATGATGATGGCTCTGTGCTAAGCCCAGTCCTCCTGTTCCCTGGGAGGGGATCTCTTGCTTCCTAGTCCGTTAGCCAAACACCTTCTCCCCAGATGGACTGGGACCAAATCAGCCACAGTTCAGGTGAGTGCTGGGGACTCAGGGCCTGACTTCTAACACTAAGAAAGCACACTTTCTAACTGTGGTGGGGGCTATTTGGGGACCTTAAATAAGATCAAGTCCCCACCTCAGATGGAAAAACATGGCCACCAAAGCCAGGATGGAGAGGTTTCTCTTTGTGCTTTGAAACCTCAACCATGTATAACAGGAACAGAGCTGACCTTTTTCCTCTAAGCTCTCTGGCTTCCACCCCAGGGAAGAGGTTTCTGCAGACTGGTGTGAGTGTGGGGGTGGAATGGGCACAGTCAGGATTGTGCGTTGGAGCAGGAGATTGCTTCAGTGCCCCCTCCCCAGACCCCACCCTCAGCAGCTGATTCCAGCACATTTAGGTCAGCAACCACTTAATGGGTGGCATAGAGGTGGAGGTTCCTGGGAGCACATGGTGCGAATGTGACGGAGGGTTCGAGGTCTGCATGAAGGCTGGGAGCTGTGCGGTTACTGGGCCCTGGGCTGGGTCAGGACGCCCAGGTAAAGTAGGCGATCTCATCCAGGTCGACCGGGTAATCCGTGAGCAGCACCGGCGTCTTGTCGAAAAGCTCACCCTTGTAGCTGCGCCACTTGCCGGCGGGCAAATAGACGTCACGCTCCTGCTTGCCCGGCTCCAGCACCGGGGCCACAAGCAGCGTGTCCCCAATAAGGAACTGAGAGTCTATGCGGTGAGCTGTCTCGTCGCCGGGCGCAATCCACCAAAGGGGGCGCACAATGGGGTCACCCGTGTCGGTGACCTCGCCCGCCAGCTCAAGCAACAGCGGCGCCACAAGCGAGGCCCGCAGGGCGGTGAACTTCTGCGCGATGGCCACCACTTCCGCGTCGTAGCGCCAGGGCGGGATAGAGAACTGCATGGCTGGCATAAAAGCGGCCACTTCCAGCCAGCGAATGTAGAGCTCGCGCTCGGGCACATCGCCGCCGGCTGTACGCTGGGGCACGGCGTTGCCGCCCACCATATCGGGTAGGATGAATGGGTAGCCCAGCATGCTGACGGTGAGCACCGCAGGAATGAGTGAGCGCAGCCCCAGGTCGTAGCCCCACACAGAGTCACGATCAACCAGGCGAAAGAAGCAGGAGATGTTCTGTGACTGGTAGCCCACGCGCACCTCTGCCAGCGAGAAGAAGGGTAGCGCCATCTCAGTGTAGCGCCGGCTCCAGACGCTGGGGTCCGGCAGCGGCCGGTAGGTGCTGAAGTCCCGCGGCAGGTAGCTGACCTCACCCGCGTCGAACTTGAAGGAAGCCACGGAGTAGCGAGAGCGCAGCCTCCGCAGGTGTCCCTGGAACCAGTCGCGGGCTTTTGGGTGCGTGAAGTCGAGCACCGCGCCGATGCCGTTCCACCAGCGCACCAGCGCGGGTAACCGGCCCGTGGGTTCGCGCACGAACAGCTCGCGCTCCACGCCCTCGCCGAAGCGCGACGAGTTGTAGTTGACAAACGGGTGCACCCAGAGCGTGACACGGAAGCCGGCGTCGCGCAGGCGGCGGAACATGTCACTGGCGTTGGGGAATTTGACCTCGTCAAAGTCAAAGTCGCCATAAGCAGGTGTGTACATGTCGTCGATTTCCAGGTGGCTGCTGTTGAAGTGGTGCTGGCGGATCTGTTGGGCAAAACGCAGCACCTTGTCCTGGTCCACGGCGCGCCCGTACAGCGCCCACGTGGACCAAATGGGGTCTCGGAAGGCCTCGGGTGCTGGCACCCTCGACGGCTTGTTGAAGTAGCGGCGCACCATGTACTTGTGGATGGAGGTGACGTCCGAGCCCACGCACACTCGGTAGCTCAGCTCTGGCGCTGCGGCGCTGCCGGCGGGTGGCTTGTAGGGCGTGTTGTGGTAGCGCGCCTGAAGCCGCAGCGAGCGCTCCGTGCCGTTCCAGCCCAGGTGGAAGGGCACCGAGTCGTTGACTTTGATGGCGGCCGCGCGCGAAGATAGCCAGTAGCGCTCGAGGATGCCCCCAAACGCGGCATCGGAGGAGTAGACATCGCTTGTGACGAACGGCTGGGGCTCCTGCTGGCCTTCCAGGCGGATGGGCCAGTGTTGCGTCCTCATCTCAGCGCCACCATACCAGTGGGCCGCGGCGTCGCCCAAGAACATGGCGTGCTCCACTGCCCGGCCCGGCGCCGCCTCCTCCCAGCGCACGCGGTAGCACATCACTGTGTCCTTGGGCCGCACGGTCTGGATGAAGAAGTGCAGCGGCCGCCCATCGGCCGTGAGCGAGCAGCCCAGCAGGGCGCCATCGCGACTGCAGGAGTCGAGGTCCAGCGCGCCGGAGCGGAAGGCCAGGCGGAAGACCTGCTCTCCCTTCTGGTTGCGGATGGAGAAGCCGCCAGCGTTGAGGTCCAGCAGCTCCGCACGAAGTCGCTCCGCCTTGCGTAGGGAGACGCTGTAGTAGCACCAGGCCACCACCGCGGCCAGCACAAGCAGCAGCCCCAGAACCGCAGAGCCCAGCAGCGGTTTCAGTTCTTTGGAAGGCTTGGGCTTGGCAGGCGAGAAGTTGTCGGGCAGGAAGGTGTACATAGCTGCGGCTGCGATGGCCTCGGGGTTCTGACGGTCTGTGTAGCAGCCAGACCGGCGGCGGCGGGGATAGGCCTGGCTCTTCTCCTGAGGATTCTGGAGCATTAGTGGGCTGCTAAGAAAGGAGTGGGCCGTGGGGCTATCTGACCGAGCTCATCTCAACCTGCTCTGGAAGGAGGAGAGAGAGAGAACTGAGCTTTCTCATCCCATGATATTTCCATTTGCTGCTGCAAGCTACGAGGAGGTGTATACTTTGGGAAGGTGAATACTGGAACCTGAGGGCTTGATGAGTTTCAAAGGTGAGACCCTTACTAGGACAATCTGTGTCTAACCCACCCTTTCTCATGGGTCCTAATGCTTGCCCAAATTAGGAGTCTGTGACTGGGGGGTGGTGCATGCGACTGGGAGATGGCACACATCCTTATTTTCCCAGTGGAGAAAAGAACCCTGAGAGGGTCAGGAAGCTTTCCAGGATCACGGGATAAGCCAGGCCTCCCCGGATCACACATGGGGCCGTTCGGGCTGAAGAGATGGGGAAGGAGCTAGAGAAGTCCTGCTCTCCTAGAGGTGTGGATGGCTGGGGTGGGAGAGGGTGGATTGTCCAGCCAGCTCCTTGAGACTTTTTTTTTTTTTTTTTTTTTGAGATGGAGCCTCCCTCTGTCACCCAGACTGGAGTGCAGTGGTGTGATCTCAGCTCACTGTAACCTCTGCCTCTTGGGTTCAAGTGATTCTCCTGCCTCAGCCTCCCGAGTAGCTGGGATTAAAGGCGCACACCACCATACCCAGCTAATTTTTGTATTTTTGTTAGAGATGGGGTTTCCCCATGGTGGTCAGGCTGGCCTCGAACTGATGACCTCAGGTGATCCACTTGCCTCCATAATTGCTGGGATTACAGGTGTTAGCCACCTCGCCTGGTTCCCCTGGAGACTTAACAGGATGGTAGGCTAGCTTCCCTGTCCCCAGAGCGGGGAGAGAAGGAAGGAAGGGAGAACAGCTCAGGAGTGTGTTTTTATCCTGAGTCAAAAGCCTGATGAAATCTGGAGATTAAAGAAGACACCCAAAGCCAGACTTAGTCCCAGGGCCTGGTTTGGAGGGAGGTAGAGTTGGGTTCAGACATTAGGGCCTGGGGCAGGAGCCTGGCATGGGGGCCAGTTGTTTCTCACATCTGCTTCTCTTTGCCCTCAAACTCACCCTGCTGTCAGCCATCCATCACCAAATCCATTTCCCTGCCTGCCTTCCTGCTCAGCTCCTGGCACCATATCTGTGGGCCAGCTACTTCCTAGCTCTGTTTCACCCACTGTCCTGTTTCTGTCATAGTTTGGGCGCTGTCACTTTTCCCCTGTATTACTGAACGCTTCCCCCAACAGGCCTCTCTGCCTCTTTCTCACCAGTGCCTTCTGATCACAGCAACCATAGTGATCTTTCTACAGCACTTGTCAAACTATGTCTATCCCTAGCTTCGAGAGCTGCTCATTACTTCCATGATGAAATTTAAAAGTGCTTTGCATTGGAGGCATGATGTGTTCTCAGCTACTGTTCTGATTCCATTTCCAGCCAGTCCTATCTTGTGATTACCAAGCTCATTCCTTCCCCAGCCTAAATCCTTTAGGCCACCTGCTTCAGGAGATTTCACCCACCTAGCTTCGGCCAATGCACCTCCTCCACCTACCTGCTCTCCAGGGATCGGACACCCACCACTACCACTAACACACATAAACTCTGACATACTATATGCTAAACATCCAGATATGAGGCCATGCACGGTCCTCGTGCCTGTAATCCTAGCACTTTGGGAGGCCAAGGAGGGTGGATCGCTTGAGCTCAGGAGTTTGAGACCAGCCTGAGCAACATGGTGAAACCCTGTCTCTACCAAAAATAAAAATAGCCGGGCATGGTGTTGTGCACCTGTAGTTCCAGCTATTTGGGGGGCTGAGGTGGGAGGATCACTTGAGCCCAGGAGGTCGAGGCTGCAGTAAGCCGAGATTGTGCCACTGCACTCCAGCCTGGGTGACAAAACAAAACAAAACAAAAAACAAACAACAACAACAACAACAAAAAAAAAACAGATATGACTGCAGGGAAACACAGGCTCAGGGGAAGAATTGTGTCCTACTCTGCCACTCAAGGCCACTGACCGTTCCTGTCCCAGGCTTCAGAGCAGAGTCCAACAAAGAAATAGCACCACCCAGGTGCACACACTTGCATACACACAGCCAGACAGTTGGTTGCCCAACTGCTCCAGCTCAGAGGAAGAGAAAGAGACTGGCAAATAATAATTAGCCTCCTCCCAGATGCCAGTGTCTGTCTCTAAGTCCCCAGGGACTTCCAAGGGGATGCCGGAACTACTCAGGTTTCTCACTTCCCCCATGCAAGAATGTAAGGTGTAGAGCAGAATTTGATCCTACATGTCAATACACAGCTCCTCCCATAGGCACTCCCCACATGGTGCTAGCTCAGGGCCTCATTCTCAGTGCCCTCTGCCCCCAGCTGCCTAAGCTTGTCTGGAACAGACTCTTATTCCCTTTCTCTCAGTCTACAACGACTTAGCTTTCCTCCCCATTCCTGTATAGATACAGCTTAGAAAACCCCTCCTGGAAAATGCAGCCAGTGGCCTTTAGCTGATGCCCTCAAGCTGAGCAGAACCCAAAGAAGGCCTTAGGTGGTTCAGATCATACCTGTGAGTTTATATTCATTCATTCAAGATAACTAAAGCCCTATTCTGGGCACCAAGGAAATAAGGAGAGAGGAGGTCAGTATCTGAAGAGGAGAGAGACTTCCTCATCCTCAAAACTTTCATATGAAGTCAGCCTATCTCATGAGGCCTGGAGGCAGGAAGAGGCCACCAAGGTGGATTCAAAAGCCTTTCCAATAGTTAGGTTTTGAGAATCTTAATTTTCTGGAATCTGACGTTCTTTGATGAAAGACAGAAGCCCACAGGCCTGGGCACCCACCCACCCCAGGCACCATGATAGTGTCCCAAATGCCACCACAGCATCCAGTTCTATCAACAATGTGGAACAGCAGACATAGTACAGTGTCCATTTTACAGATGAGGAAACGTGGCCCAAACAGAAAAAGGAACTTGTCTGAAGTTAGCCAGGTAGCAAGGCTGCCTGGATCTAAAATCCCAGCTCAGCTCCCCACAGTGTTAAGTTTTAGGAGATGGGAGATAATGATCTGACCTGGCTGCCTGAATGCAGTAGCAGAAAGGAGCCCTGGGGCTGAGCTGGTGGGACCGGCTTCCATCAGATGGGCATGGTGAGGCCTGTCTTTCCAAGGGTTGGTGCTGCTGCTTGCTCCATGCCGACCACGAGAGCCTCTTAGGGGCAGCAGAGAGGGCAATTTTAATGGCATCTGGTACCGGGACTTTGGGGGAGGAAGTCTGTGGTTCTGGTGTTAACAGTGGTGCCAGAGACCTCTAATCTGCTGCCTCCGCCATCTAGTGAACCCAAGGCTAGTGCTAGCAGGTGGAGTCTGCAGGGTGGGCCTCCCTGGGCTCTGCCCGCTGAGCCTTTCCCCACTGGACCCTCAACCTCAGTCTTGGCTGCCACGGCTAGTCTGGTCTAAGGGGGAGGGCCACGCCCGGCTCAGCTGAGGGGAATCCATTCCAAGTAGAATCGTTAGTTGAACACAGTTCCCAGAGGGGGGATGGAAATATCAAAGGCAACTCGATCCGGCCCATCTCTCTCTCCTGCCCGGCGACGGGATCCGCGGGGATCGAGTGACTGCTTACACAGCCTGGAATACTGCACAGCCACCCGAGCAGCCCGCCCGAAGGCTATACTGTCCGAGGGGCCGACCGAGGTCAAGGGACCTGTCGCCTGGCGGGAATGCGGCCGTGAAATGGGCCCAGGTGTTCAGGCTCGCTCCACCCATTCATCGGTGGGAGCGAAAGTTCAGGAATCGTGCTCCTTCAGCAGCCCCCCGCCTCCCACAGCCCTCCCGCTGGGCTCACCCATTGCAGTTACAGCCCGGCAGAACCGGGGGTGAAGGAGCTTCCCGCCGATCCCCTGCGCTTGAACCAGAGTGAAGCTGCCACCGCGCCGCGCGGGGCTCTGCCTGGCAGGGTACAGCTGAGCCCCTCCTCGGGCCCCGCCCTGGGGCTCCTCGGCCACGCCCCAGTCATCCAGTCTCGCCTCGGGCCTCAGAGTCCAGCCCTGCCCTTGACGTTCGACCCCTCCTCCCAGGTTATCAGGCGGACCTGAGGCCCCGCCCCTCAGCCCCACCTTCCTGCCACTGCTCTGTGCTCTGCCCCTGGCATTTCGGGCTTGCTCAGTCCTGCGTCCCAAGTCTCCGACTCCCGCCGGCGGGCCCGCCCCTGCTGGGCCACTGCTTAACCGCAAGCGGGCTGGGCTCGACCCCAGGCCTGCTGGGACATGTAGTTCTGCAGAAAGGAGCAGCTGCGGAAGGTTGGGGTTCTTGCACCTCTAGGCTAGGTTTGAAATGAGAATGAGAGGGAGAGAGCTGCAGGGTAAAGGAGCAGGGCTCGCCATTGGAATTCCTTTTTTCCTGATTTGGGCAGGTGGAGGCCATATCGGTATAACGCTCTCACAAGCCCTCAGTTTTTACATGTGGAAAAGTGGTGGCGGAATTCCGCGATTATCTTAGTGCCCAATGCAGGGTGCTTCCAATCAAGAGCCCCACGGAGGGAGCTGTAGTTCCAACCTGCCGGGAGCCCAAGCTGTCGGTTCCCACCGGACCAAACCAGCAGTGTCCGAGGTCAGGGACTGAGAAGACCGGTTTCTGCTCGGCATTTTGCAATGTCACTCGCCTCCCCTACCGCCACCCCCAGACTAGTTATTTATAGGGTCCAGCCTCTCCTCCTAAGTTACAGCCTTTAGTTAGAAACGCCCAAGCTGCGGAAAAGTGGGCGTGCCCCGCCATGCCCTTCTCCCCGGGGGGGCTGGGCAAGACTCTGAGGTTTTATTTCTTTTTTATTTTATTTTTATATTTATTTATTGTTGAGTGTCGTTCTTGTTGCCCAGGCTGGAGTGCAATGGCACGATCTCGGCTCGCTGTAACCTCTGCCTTCTGGGTTCAAGCAATTCTCCTGCCTCAGCCTCCCAAGTAGCTGGGATTACAGGCACGTGCCACCATACCCAGCTAATTTTGCATTTTTAGTAAAGACGGGGTTTCACCATGTTGGTCAGGCTGGTCTCAAACTCCTGACCTCAGGTGATCTACCTGCCTCAGCCTCCCAAAGTGCTGGGATTACAAGCGTGGGCCACCACGTCGGGTCATATTTTATTTTTTTGAGAGAGGGTCTCGCTCTGTCGCCCAGGCTGGAGTGCAGTGGCGCGAACATAGCTCGCTGCAGCCTCAGTGTCCTTGGTTCAAGCTATCCCCTCCTACCTCAGCCTCCTGAGTAACTGGGACCACATGTACGTGCCACCATACCCCGCTAATTTTTAAACTTTTTGTAGAGAAGGGGTCTCCTTATGTTGCCCCAGGCTGTTATCGAATTCCTGGGCTCAAGTGATCTTCCTGCCTCAGCCTCCCACAGTGCTGGGATTACAGGTGTGAGCCACTGGACCTAGCTGGTTTCATATCAATTGATGCAGAAAGGAAAATACTGAAGATCCCAGAGATTTTAGAATGGCCCCTCTCGCTCCCTGAGGGGCAGAGAAACAGGGCTTTGTTTTGCAACTTGAAATTTCGTGGTCATGAGACCCTTCAAAATTATGTTTTCACCAGTTGGACTTGGAATGGGGGACACACCTTTGCAGCAAGGGTGTCTGAGCACAGAGAGGCTTTTGGGAGGCTGTGATAGGGACTCCTGGAAGCAGAGATCAAGAGTTTTGGGTGTAGGGATACGGCTTTGACTGTGGAAGGAAGGATCCTGGGTCCTTTGATGAGTGGGAGGGCATCTAAGTTTGGGGGCATACTGAAGAAATGTTAGCTGGAGGGTCTTCGTGGGGTGGGAAGTAGATGGCTCCTGCCTGCATTGCAGGGTGGACACATTCGTTTGGGCTCTGGGATGCAGGGGAGTAGGACAGCAGCTGGATATAGGGCTACTGTTCTGTGTCAGGAGGGCACTCAGGGACATACTGAGATGATGGGGTTGGAAGGGCTCAGGGAAGGGTGACTTTGAGAAAAATTGCATCTCAGTTGAAGGGGTTTGGTAGAGGCCCGAGTGACAGGCCCTTCACTTCCAGATTCTGCTGGGTAAGGAACAGGAGGCAGGCTTTGGGGGTGAAGAGTTTATTTATTGCTCTGTCCCCGTGGCCCAGCAAGCCCAGGCTCTACCAGCAACGATAGTCAGGATAGGTCTCAGACACAAACTCAGGATGGATAACATAGTTGTTTCTCTGGGGACCACCAGACTTCTTGAAGTGACTTGTGTCCCATCTACAGGAAGAGATGGGTCAGCCCTTTTGGATCCTCATATGTCAAAGTGAATATCTGACTCCAGTTTGCAATGCTAACCTTATCCCTACACTTTGCCTATAGCACTGAACTTGGGTTCCAATACTGACCTCCTGACCTTAGGTTCTACTGTTAAGTTGCTGATACCCAATATTTCTTCCTTAACATCGACTTCTTACTCGTTACTTCAAGCTCTGAACGCAACGCCTTTGGCTGTAAGCCCACTGCCAACCTGTAACCCTTCAATACAGGCCTCCCAGCCCTGTCCTAAGGTCCTCTGTCCTTACCACCTTTGACTGCTCCATGGCACTAGCTCCCCCTGGTGGTATCTGCCTGTCAGTGCACCGCAGCGGGGCGTTCTCATCCCATCTACCAGCCATCCTCCCCCAGCCCCGCCTCACCAAAACTTCAGGGTGCGTGTGCAAATGAGTGTGTGCCCGTTAGACTTACCTAAGGTTCGGATATGGGTAGTATGACGGCGGGGGAGTTGTAACAGCACACTGCATTCCGGGCCGGTGCTCGTAGGGAGGTACACAACTGGAGAAGAAGGAAGCCGCGAGCAGGGAGGGGTTGGGCCTTTTGACTCTCATCCCCCGACTTAGATCAAGCCCCTGGGCGGCACTTAAGGTGTCCGTCTCAAGGCTCGGAAATCCTCCTCTCCTTTCTCACCCTTCAAAACCCCCACTGCAGCACCGACTCGGGAACCCCCCTTGGAAGTCTCCCTCCCGGCAAGGCCTCATTTCTGCTGTTCAGGGAAGAGCGCTGGTCCCTGGGGAGGGTTGGGCTCCGGTCACTGAGGACCTGGAACCACCGGATCCCCGCCACTGGACAGCAATTTCTCCAGCACTAGGATGAGGCATCGTTTCTGAGCTTCCTAGAGGCTCAGACACTTTCCCACTCCCCTATGCCTTTGAGAGGGACAAGACTCAGTCTTGCACAATGAATCAGGCTCTCTCGGCCTGGAGAGGGGCGGGGGATCACTACGGACCCCCACTGCACAGCTCTCAGGGCTACCGCGGACAAAGTTCCCCCAGGCTTGGCTGCCGCCGGGTGCAGGACGAATGCCGCGCTGCAGTCTGGGCTCCAGCTGTGCGCTCGGACCCGTTTTCTTAGCAATAACACGGGAGAGTGGCTACCTCCGCAGATGGTGCGGGATCCGAGGAGGCCAGAGCCATTCTGGTAAAGTGGTTACCATTTCCTGGCTCACGTAGCCCCCGCGAATGACCGCACCCACTACCGACGGTGACGGGGGCCCAGCAAGAGAGGACATTTTTCTGAGAACGCAGGGCATTCCACAGGCTAGAACCTGCGTCTCTAGGGCCAGGTGTCTAGGGAAGGGGGCAGGGCCAAGGAGATGTGGGAAGAGGATTCCACTGATATGCGAGGTTTCTTCCTCAAAAACCTCCGGCGGGACCTCCAGAGCACATAGAGAGGCCAGGCTGACCTTGAGCCCAGTTTGAGAGGGACAGGGGTCGGGGACTTGGAGTAACCTTTGTGCTGGTTCTCCCGCCTCAGTTGTTAGTTCAGGCCTTGGAGCCCGAGGGCGGGACACGGCGCGGCGTCGAGAGCCTGCCGCGCGGTGCTAGAGCAGGCTGGGGGCCGGCACTGAGGCGGGCCGAGCTGGAAGCGGGCGGGGTTCTGGGGCGGGGCTTGTGTGGGGTGGAGCCCGGCTGAGGCGGGCGGAGCCCTGCGAACCTTACAGTCGGTAGCTCCCGGCACCAAGGCCGCAGGCGGCGGTCGGTGCAGGGCGCCCCGCTGGCGTAGTAGTCCATCCCACGCAGACAGTAGTGGCGGCCTGAGCAAGCACTTTCGTAACCGTGGAAGGGCAAGCGGCCGGGCAGTGGGTCCACGCACCCGCATCGGGGCGTGATCCGCGGCAGCTGCTGGTTCCGCGACAGTGAGTTCAGCATGTTCACCATCACTTCGCGCTCTGCGCCCGCGGGTCCCCAGCGCAGGAGACCCCAAGACAGATGCACAGGGATGGGAAGAGGCCGGGTCACAGAGTGAGGCGGAGACAAAAGCAGGGACGGACAGATTCAGGGTTCCATCCTCTCCAGGACCCTCGGCCTCCTACCCATACTTCAGGTCCCCATCCCGCCCTCCTCCCGGCTTTCCCCTACCCTCCCCACCCGTTCTTTCCAACGCCCCACTACCACTCTTTACCGTAGGCATTGAGCCGCTCCGGCTTAGGAGGGCATTCCAAGGGCATTCCTCGAACTGCTGTCTCCATCCCGGCCTCCTGGAAGTGGCACACATGCTACCTCAAGCTCTGACCTGGCAGAGCTGCTCCCTTTTAGGGGTCCTCCCAGAACACCCAGACCTATCGCCACGCCGCGCCTTCTCCCGCCCTTCAGCAGCTCCCCACCTCTCCAAGGCTCTGAGTGTTTGCGGCTGTCGCCTGGCAACGCGTTTACGCTGCCTACAGGGGCGGGGTGGGATGGGGAGAGCTGAAGGTGCATGGGGTTTGGCTCCTGGGCCTGTGACAATCCTGTCTCAGCGTTTGCCTTTGATCTTACCCCTCTTTGTCTAGCTGACTCTGTTTAGCTGTGTCTGGGTGTCTCTCTAATAGGGGGTTTTCAATATTGCTTGCCCATTCCGTGAAGAACTCGTGAAAGATTCTGATTCTTGAGGAAGTTCTAATTCAAAAGGATTCATCAACCCAGGGGCAGCCATCAGCCTGCAGTTAAGAGCCCCGGCTCCGGTTTTGGGTCCTCTCGGGTGCCCTTGAGTCTGTGGCCGTGGCTGGACCTTCTCCTATGTCCTTGGAAGACTCTCCTGTATCCGCACTGCTACTAAGTAGCCTTGGTCTTCCTCCTTCCGTCTGTGCTCACATCACAAAGGAGGAGAAGGTGGAGCAGGGAGATGCAGTGTATCACTGACTCTTTGGCTAGCCCCAGTATCACAGGGGCCAGACTATATGGGGAGGGGCCAGCTGGCAAGCTTCGGAAAAGTAGCATATCATGGAGTGCACACCAGCCATGTCCCTACAGAGCCCAGCCAGGGATTGGGGCCCAGGGCACCCAATCCCCAGAGACTGAGAGCCAAGGGGCCAGCACAGCCCCACTTCTGGGTTCCTTTTGCAACTAAAAAGATTCAAACCCGGCCGGGCGCAGTGGCTCATGCAGGTAATCCCAGCACTTTAGGAGGCCGATGCAGGCAGATCACTTGAGGCCAGGAGTCCAAGACCAGCCTGGCCAACATGGCAACATCCCCAACTCTACTAAAAATACAAAAATTAGCCAGGTGTGATGGCACACGCCTATAATCCCAGCTGCTCGGGAGTCTGAGGCAGCAGAATTGCTTGAACCCAGGAGGCAGAGGTTGCAGTGAGCTGAGATTGTGCCACTGCACTCCAGCCTGGGTGATAGAGTGAGACTCTATCTAAAAAAAAAAAAAAACAACAAACTCTAGTTTCACAGATGGGGAAGAGCCCTGGTGCATTTGTTGGGAAAGCAATGATGACCTAATGGTGAAATATCAGTCACTGTGGTTTGGGAGGTGGTGGGGTATGCGTGTCCCAGTCCCCAGGCATCTGTGCAGGGTGCAGTAGATACCTTAGGCAGCCGAGGAAGGTAGGTGGTATACTTGTTACAGCAGCTGCTGTTGTAAGGTTCCATCCTCCATGTGTTGTACCGGTCACTGCCCAGGTAGTTTGGGCTGCATTTGTCTGCTGGATAATAGGAGTGGAGATGTCAAATAGTGTTACTTCTTACTCTACTCCAGGATCTGGGATCCCCTACATGTTTCTCTTCCGATTCCCCGCACAAAGCTGACCCTCACAGACTGTCCTCAAGCCAGACCCCAAACCCAGCCAGGCCTACACTTGTCTTAAACACTGAGATGTAGCCCATGTCCCACCTAAGGCAACCTTCTGAGTTTAGTCTGAATCCACTGTGCCAGCCACTTTTCATCCTGCTACTACCCTTTTTGAATCAGCCAGCCTGGACAAGGGGCCTCTTCCCAATTCCTCCCTCTCTCTCATCTTCTACTCTAGGCTCCAAGGTTTGCCTATTCTGCCTCCTTCAAAATCACTTGAATCTGGCCAGGCAAGGTGGCTCATGCCTGTAATCCTAGCACTTTGGGATGCCAGGGCAGGAAGATCACTTGAGATCAGGAGTTTGAGATCAGCCTGGCCAATATGGCAAAATCCTGTCTCTACTAAAATACAAAACTTAGTTGGGCATGGTTGGCATGCACCTGTAAACCCAGCTACTCAGGGGGCTGAGGCACGAGAATCCCTCAAACCAGGGAGGCAGAGGTTTCAGTGAGCCAAGGTTGTGCCACTGCACTCCAGCCTGGGTGATGGATCAAGACTCAGTCTCAATCAATCAATTGATCAATCAATAACTTGAATCTACTCTGTCTTCCAGTACCCCATGATCTCACTTTCATATCTTCTCAGCACCTTAACCAGGAGACAATATAATGTCTTGGTTAATAGATACCTATGTCTGCAGATAGACTACTTGTGTTTAAATTTCAGTTTTGCCAATTGTTATCTGTGTGACCTTGACCAAGTTAGTTAATTTTGCTGTGTCTCAGTTTCTCCAACTTTAAAATGGGGATGATAGTACTATTTACTTCACAGGGTTGCTGTGAGGTTTAAATAAGTTAGTATATGTAAGACATTTAGAATGATGCTTGGCACATAAAAAACTATTATGATTATTCTACTATTCTCCTTGCCTCACCTTTGAAATCCTATAATCCAGCCTTGACATAGCAGCTGTGGTACTTTTTCACAAATGAAAATTTGACCAAGACATTCTCCTACTTAAAACCCTATAGGGTTTGTCTCCCTTAGCCCCCAGTCATCTAAGCCTGTCCTACAAGGCCCTCCATGATCCAACAGTCTGAAAGAATACATATGTGAGACGGTGTGGAGGAAGCCCTAGCAAAGAGCAGCTATGTGAGGGGAGAGGTGGAGTGCTGGGATTTGGAGTTCGGGGATGGCGATTTGCACATACTGAAACTGAGGTGTTTGGGGACATCCACGTCAAGATGACTATAAGCATATGAAGAAGAGTGGAATTCAGGTGAGAGGACAAATCTGGAAATTAGGATTTGAAGCTGTCAGTAATTAAAGCCTTGTGTTAAATCAAATGGCCTTGGAGGAGGAGCAAGGGGAGAAGAGGGTGCAGGATAACATCCCGAGGAACCCTATGTTTCCACAGTGGATGCACGGGAAAGGAAGGCATCAGATAAACTGAGGAGGAAGTTGTTTCAAGAAATAGAGTGGGGTCATAGCATGTGTCCTGGAGGATTAACATACAAAACAACAACAACAACAAAACAAGTAGAGAGTGGTCAGAAGAGTGCAATTCATTGGTGTAGGAGGGTAAAGGTCTCAGAGGGTAAAGACTGCAGAGTCCTGTGGATTTGGTAATCAGAGCCACGCAAGAGCAATTTATTGTTTCATTGTAGGAGATGCACATTCCCAACTTCCATTGGGAATTCTCAGTCCATTCCACAAAGACTTATGAAACGTGGCGCTGTGCTCGATGGAGGGGCACAGCTGTGAATAAGACCAGAGTCATAGCTGTACATTCTTTTTGAATGTACAGCTAGACAGATTATAGACATCCAAGCAAATGAGAAAGACAGTCTCTCATAAGGTATAAGAAAGGGTGAGGAAATAGAGACAGTGAGTATGGACCACGTTTCTGAGAACCTAGGCTGTTGAGGAGAGGAGCAAGAGATAATTTTTAGTTGGGAAGAAACTAGAGAAGGTTCCAGGTTGAGGGAAAGAGGTGTGGTGGGGCAGAGGGATGCAGGAGAGATGGAGGGAGCTAATGGGAGGAGGGTGGCTGGGAAGATGGGAGGAGGGTGGCTGGGAAGATGGGAGGAGATGGCATCCAGAATGCACGTGGAGGGATCTGTTTGTGGGAGGTTAATTCTTTCTCCAACTCTCTAAGAATGGGACCCAGGGCCCTTCCAGCTTCTTTTTCCCCACAGAGAAGAACCCCAAAAGGCAGGGCCTAGGTCATCTCCTCCAGGGCCAGGGTCAGGTCAGGTGGTTGGGAGTGGGGGGTGGTTAGGGAAGATATCTAGGTCATAGGTGGAGATAAAGTTGACATAGAATCAGGATGGAGGCCGGGCATGTGGCTCAGGCCTGTAATCCCAGCACTTTGGGAGGCCGAGGCAGGTGGATCACCTGAGGTCAGAAGTTCGAGACCAGCCTGGCCAACATGGTGAAACCCTGTCTCTACTGAAAATACAAAAATTAGCGGGGCCTGGTGGCACATGCCTGTAGCCCCAGCTACTCAGGAGGCTGAGGTAGGAAAATCACTTGGATCCGGGAGGTGGAAGTGGGTTGCAGTGAGCCGAGATGATCACACCATTGCACCCAGACTGGGCAACAATAGCGAAACTCCGTCTCCAAAAAAAAGAGAATCAGGATGGAGGTCAGGATCCAGGTGGTTGAGTTCAGGTTGGGCGTCATTTTAGGGGTCAGCAAAGGGGAGGCCTTACCTTCCTCTTGAGAAAGCCAGTACTTCTCAGGCAAGTAGGGGTGGCCTGATATGGACCCCCTGTAAGTGTAGTCCTGTACAGCACATTTGGCCATCTTCTGCAAGGCTTCGGGATCCACATGTTGCTCCATGGTATGAGTCAGACCCTGGGCAAGGGGAGAGGGGAGAAGTGGTTAGGGGCATAGAGACCCCAGCCCTGGGCTCTTGCTGGAACTAGATCCAGCCTCTCTTGAGAAAGTCAGCCCAGGTGGGTCTCCCAACCCCGCCCCCCATGTCAGAGGGATTCCCATGCCAGCCTTGGATCCTCTGCACAGTTCTCTTGTCTGAATTACTCTTTCTTCCTTTCTTTTCATCCAAGCTTGGGGCTTGGAGCCAAGCAGTGCCCTTAAGTCAGAGTAGTTTTCTGACTTTCTCATTTCTGCCATTTCGCAGGGAGCTCATGAAGGTCAGAGCTACATATACCTTCCCTTTTTCTCCTAGACTGTATGCTGCCTGGGAGCAGGGCTGGGTCTCTGCCAACAGTGCATCAGGCCCTGGCACAATCTGTAGTCTCAGAAAAGGGGGCTACCCTGGGAGCTGGCTGCCTTATGTAGGTGTCTTGGACAGGAAAGGCTCTCTGGGAATCTGGCATCTTAAGGAAAATGAAGGACAGTGCTGGAGGGGCACCTACTTTAAAATGTAATTCCCCGCTGGGCGTGGTGGCTCACACCTGTAATCCTAGCGGATCATGAGGTCAAGACATAGAGACTATCCTAGCCAACACGGTGAAACCCTGTCTCTACTAAAAATACAAAAATTAGCTGGGTGTGGTGGCGAGCTCCTGGACTCAAGGGATCTTCCCATCTTGGCTTCCCAAAATGCTGGGATTACAGGCATGAGCCACCACACATCGCCCTTCTTTTGGCCAAGGCTGAGACCTGGTTGCTCCCAGTGCTCCAACCATCCTGAAAACCTCTCTGCTCAGGGGCTTCTGGGATCAACTGTGCCCAGCTGACATTATTCTGTGAGCAGATCCTGCACATTCACACTTCTATGTGGGTGGAGGGCAGAATATGGCAGATGTGGGTGCATGGGTCCTGTGACTCAGCATTTCTCTGAGCTTTACACACACACACATACACACACACAGAGCCCTGTGTACCCAGATACACCCATAGATGCACATATAGATGAATATTCATACATACACACTCAGATATACCCACTTACACACTAAACACACATACACACACAAAAACAAAACAGTCATTTAGAAGAATTCATAGACATCATCAATTTTTCTGTTAGATGCTTTCCTCAGATGTTTCCTCTTTGTCTGCTCCTGTTGATAAGTAGCAGATTATAAAAGCTTATTGAAGGCTTTGAGCTGTGTGTGGGCTTTGTCCACCATCAGCATCACTGTAGGATGATCTCGTTGCACAATGTTTTGCAAACTCTAATGTCAATATCTGTAGGTCTTTCCTCTTGGCTGATGAGATTCTTCAGAAAAGACTCCTTCAACCTTTGGCCTGAGGTTAATGACTTAGCTGCCAATGTTCTGAGAATCTAGTGCTGAAGATTGCGCTGGGGATTTTAGCATTTAATATATGGAGGTTCACTTGTTTTCAAAATAGTACCCTGTCCTCAATTGGTATTCCCAGTCCTGAGGTCCTTGCCAAAAATTAGTCTCCTGACTTTAGCAGAGACAGAGGTGGGCAGTTACCCTGTGGCATGAAATAGAAGGGGTGATTAGTGGGTTTAACTGCTTTTTTTTTTTAGATGGAGTTTCGCTCTTCTCACCCAGGCTGGAGTGCAATGGCGCCATCTTGGCTCACTGCAACCTCTGCCTCCCTGGTTCAAGTGATTCTCCTGCCTCAGCCTTCCAAGTAGCTGGGATTACAGGCGCCTGCCACCACGCCCGGCTTTTTTTTTTTTTTTTGTATTTTTAGTAGAGTAGGTTTCACCATGTTGGCCAGGCTGGTCTCAAACTCCTGACCCCAGGTGGTCCGTCCACCTCAGCCTCCCAGAGTGCTGGGATTACAGGCGTGAGCCACCTCGCCTGGCCTAACTACTTCTTAACAGCTTTCAAATAATCCTTATTTTTGCATTGGTCCTATCCCATCCTCAGTTCCAGAGAAGCCTAGGATTACCAATTCCTGAGCCTTTCAGAAATTCTGCAGTTTTAAGTTGAATTATGGCTTGGTTTTTCCATTGCTGGCTTTAGATTTAGCTTTCTCAGATCTGCTAAGTCAGTTACTACTTATTTATCATCTTTTCCAGCTTCCAAAATTGTGTTGCCATTGCCTCTTCCTTCTCACTATCCTTGTGAGTTTATCTCTTAAATATTCATTTACTGTAGTTTTAGAGGGGTTTTAGGAGGGTGTCAAAACGTGTTCAATTTTAACCAAGAGAATTATAATTCTTTATATATTCTGTATATTAGTCCTTTACTATTGGCACTTATACATGTTGCAAATATCTTTTCTGTTTGTGACTTCTGTCTTTTTTTTTTTTTTTGGAGACAGGGTTTCACTGTTGCCCAGCCTGCAGTGCAGTGGCACAATCACAGTTCACTGTAACCTCTACCTCCTGGGCTAAAGCTATCCTCTTGCCTTAGCCTACCAAGTAGCTGGGACTACAGGTGCGCACCACCACACCCAGCTGAATTTTTTTTTTTTTAATTTGTTTGTAGAGAAGATGTCTCCCTGTGTTGCCCATGGTGGTCTTGAACTACTGAGCTCAAGTGATCCTCCTACCTTAGACTCCCAAAGTACTTGGATTACAGGTGTGAGCCATTGCACCTGGCTTTTACTTTTCTTTATAGTTTCTTGATGAACCTCTTCTTTTGTGGTCAGTGCTTTTTGTGAATTGTTTAAGAAATTCATCCATACTCTCAGATAACGGAGACAATGTTCTGTATTTCCTTGTAAACACAAAACAGTGTTACTTTCCATATTTAATCTGTCAGGAGTTTGGAAAACTCATCTTCTTTAAGTGTGTTATAGCTATTTCTTGAACTTTTGCCCATCTCTATAAATTTTAAAAAGTTTGTTGAAGTCTTCAAAAAATCCTGTTGGGATTTTAATTAGTAGCTGGACTACAGGTACATGCCACCATGCCCTGCCAATTTTTGTATTTTTTGTAGAGATGAGGTTTCACCATATTGCCCAGGCTGGTCTTGAACTCCTGAGTTCAAGCAATCTGCCTGCCTCAGCCTCCTAAAGTGCTGAGAACTGCGCCTAGTGATACTGAATCTTTATGATAGTAACTCTTCCCATTCGTGAGCATGTTATATCTCTCCATTTATTTAAGTAGTTTTTAAAAAGTATTCAATAAAGTTTTATAATATTATCCATATAGTTTTACACACATCGTTAGATTTCTAATTATTTTTTGATGCTAGAATGAATGATGTATATTTTTAAAATTATGCTTCCTAAATATTTGTTTGTGTGAAGAAATGTGATTGACTTTTAATATTTATCCAATTATTCTAACAATGTGTGTAGATTCTTTTTTTTTTCCTAAGACTAGTCCAGCACACTAGTGAGAAGGAGAGAAAGAGTGGAACAAGGAGTTTGATCTGTAACTGACTGTGAACAATCAATTGAGATAACTCACTACCTTGGGCCAGCCAATTTGTAGATTCTATATATGCAGTTGTATTGTCTGCAAATAATGACAATTTTTTTTTTCCTTTCCTATTCTTATATCTTTTTACTTTTTTTGTGGTGTCCTTGCCAGGACCTCCAGTACAATGCTGAATAGAAGTAGTGAACATCCTTGCCTTGATTCCAACTTTTAAAAGAATGCTTCTAACATTTAATCAGAATAATGTTGGCTGTATATTTTTGGTATTTTTTTTATCAGGTTATATTTGCAAAGTTTTTCTTTTTTAGTTATAAATGGGTAATACATTTTAGCAACTGCTATTTCTGCATCTTTTTTAAATGGCTTCATTGAGGTATAATTTACATACCATAAACTTCACTCAAAGTGTACAGTTCAAGAATTTTTAGTAAGATCTCATATCCATTTCTGCATATTTTGAAATGATCTTTTTTTCTTGAATCTGTTAATGTGATGAATGATATTTACTTTCCTAATGTTAAACCATCCTTGCACTTATGAAATAAATATAATGTAACCATCACAAATTATTTTTTATACACTGCTGGATACAGTTTTCTAATATTTTATTTAGAATTTTTGCTTTTGTATTTATGAGTGAATTGGCCTGTATACTTTTGTTTTCTTATACACTTTTGATTAATTTTTTTTGTGGGCTCATGCAGTCCTCCTGCTTCAGCCTCCATAGCAGCTGGGACCATAGGTGCGTGCCACCACACCTGGCTAATTTTTAAATTTATTTTTTAGAGAAGGGGTCTCACTATGTTGCTCAGGCTGGTCTTGAACTCCTGGGCTCAAGCAATCCTCCTGCCTCAGCCTCTCAAAGTCCTAGGATTACAGGTGTGAGCCACTGCACCTGGCGTTCTTGATTAATGTATCAAAGTTATGCTGGGTTCATAGAATGAGTTAGGAAGCATCCTCTTTTTTTCTGTTCTCTGACAGTTTGTATAAGATTAAGACAACGGTTCTTTGAGCATTTGAGGAATGTAACTGTTTATCTATGCTGGGTGTTTTCTTTGTGGAAAGTTTTCAAATTACTGGTTTAATTTTGTTAAGTTGTTATAGGAGCATTCAGATTTTTTCCAATTCTTTTTTTTTTTTTTTTTTTTTTTGAGACGGAGTCTCGCTCTGTCGCCCAGGCTGGAGTGCAGTGGCGCAATCTCGGCTCACTGTAAGCTCCGCCTCCCGGGTTCACGCCATTCTCCGGCCTCAGCCTCCCGAGTAGCTGGGACTACAGGCGCCCGCCACTGCGCCCGGCTAATTTTTTCTATTTTTAGTAGAGACGGGGTTTCACCGTGGTCTCGATCTCCTGACCTTGTGATCCGCCCGCCTCGGCCTTCCAAAGTGCTGGGATTACAGGCGTGAGCCACCGCGCCCGGCCTTTTTCCAATTCTTGAACTGGTTTGGCAAGTTTTATTTTTCTAGTGTTTGTCCATTTGTTTTCAATTTTATTAGCATAAAGTTGTTCAGAACATTCTCTTACTTTTTTTTTCTACATCCATTGTTAGACCCTTCTTTTGTCTGTGCCTTGTTTTTC